GAAGCTGTGATTCATTTGTTTTTATTGGTGTTTAGTATTCTACCAAATAAATGTGTCATGATTTATTGATCTATTCTACTGTTTGCAAATGTCTGGATTATTTCCAGTTTTTTTCTGTTCCAAACACTGATGCATGAACATTCTTGTACAGCTTCCAGATGCCATGGGTATGCCCTACCCTTTACGACCTCGTTGATATAACAAAGAAAACCCGATTTCTAAACAGGGTCGCATAAGTACCTCCACTTCCCCAAAACAACAACAACAACAAAATAACAAAAAACAGTTGTCAATGAGTCCATTCCGACTCATGGAGACTCCATGTGTGCAGAGTAGAACTGCCTCCTGTGTTTTCAATCGCTGTAACCCTTCTGAAGCAGATTGCCAGGCCTTTCTTCTGAGAAGCCTCCAAGTGGGTTTGAACCACCCATCTTTCGACTAGCAGTCAAGCGCTTTGGGCCACCCAGGGTCTTGTTCCACAGGTACAAAGGCCAGGAATTGACACATACTCTGGGGGGACATGAGTCAATCCATAGCAATAGTTTATTTGTTTGTTTATTATATTTATCATTTATTTCTGCCTCCTCTAATGATGGTGCTAGCTTCACGAGCGCAGGGGTCTTTGCAGGTTTTATTTGCTGATGGATTTCAAATGTGTGGAATAGTGCCATGCATGTAAGCAGGTGCTCAGGAAATATTGTTGAATGAATGAAATAATGTTTTCCCAGGTACGTCATACTTTTCCTGCTAAAGTAAATGGTGGGTTAAACAAATGAAAGCTTTTACCTGCTTGCTGCTGATGTATGGAAATGCAATTCCTATTTGATATTTATTTTTTGTGCCTTTCTAAAACTCTGACTGTTATCATTTACTTATGGATTCATTTGTACTTTTACACAGAAAATCATGTCATCTGGGCATAATGATGCCTTTCTCCTGTTTTCTTTATAATCTTTGTATTTATTGTTTCTTTTTCTTGCCTTGCCAACTTCAGTTCAAGGTTGACTCCAGCTGGTGATGATAGGCATCTTCTCTGGTTTCTTGCCCTAATAGGGATGCTTGCATTGTTGTACATGATGCTTAAAGCAGACTTTTTTGGAGATAATCTTAGTTTAATGAAGTTTCCTTTAATTAATTTTACAAGAATCACTTGTTTATTGTGAATGGGTATTCCATTTAGTTATATAACTTTATGGTATTATTGAGACAGAGCATAAGATTATTGCCTTTTAATCTTTTAATGTGCGGAATTACATTATGGATTTTCTAATATCAAACCAACCTGCATTCCTAGAAAAACCCCAACATAATTATGCTGTATTATCTTTTATATACATTAACCAATTGATTTACAATCATTTATGAAAGCATTTTTGCACATGTATTTGTGACGGAGATTGACCTATATTTTTCCTTCCTTGTCAGGTTTTGGAATCAAGTTAATAATATTCTTATAAAATAAGTGGAAGAGTATTCTTTCTCCCTAAACACTTGAATAGTTTATATAAAATTAGAATAGTGTGTATCTTCAATATTTGGTACATGTGACTGTAAAAACCATCTGTTTTCTACTATGAAGTTTTTTAACTTCTGAATATCAATTCCTTTACTAGTTATAGAACTATTTAGGTTTTTTTCTTGAGTGAGTTTTTTTTTTTTTTTTAGACATTCAATTTATCTAAGCTTTCAAATTGATTGATATAAAGCTGTTCACATTATTTTTTTAATAAGCATCTTACTATGTGGCATCTGTAACTTAGTCTCCTTTTTTATTACTAGTATTGTTTATTTTGTGATTTCTCTCTTTTGATTCCTGGTCAATTTTCCCTAAAGTGTGTCAATTTTATGCCTTTTTAAAGAACAAACTTTAACTTTACTGAGACTTGCTATTATATATTTGTTTTTATTTTACTTTTCTGATATTGTCAATAATATTTCTTTCCTTTTACTTATTTTGGATATATTATACTTTTCCCTAATTTTTAAGGTTGAATGCTGAACTCAAATTTTCCATTCTTCTTTTATAAGATGAACATTTAAGGCTATAAACTTCCCATTTAATATTGCCATAGCTGCTACTCATAATGAGCTTTGGCTGTGTGGTATGTTCATTATTGCACAGTTCTAAATTCTTTCCAGTTTTCATCATGAATTTTTCTTTAGCTTATAAATTATTTAGAAGTATGCTGCCTAAATCAGAACAAATGGAGTTGTCTAGTTTTATTTGGAGGGGAATATTTATTCTATTCTAATTAAGTTGAGGTCAGAAAAATGTACGTGCGTGTGTTTTTAATGCCAGTTCTTTGAAATTTGTTGTGATTTGGTTTATGGATCAGTTCCTGGATAGCGCAAATGGTTAAGACTTGGCTGCTAACTGAAAGGTTAGTGGTTTGAGTCCACCTGGAGGCAACTTGAAAGAAAGGTCTGGAGATCTATTTCCGAAAAATCAGACATTGAAAACCCTGTGGATTACAGGTCTGGTCTGACACACATGGGGTCACCACAAATCAGAATCAACTCGAAGGTAACTGGTTTGTGTTTATTTTCGTTGTTGTTGTTTATGTGATCAATATTTGTAAATGTTCCATACATGCTTAAGAAGAATATGTATCCAGCAGTATTCTATATCTGTTCATTAAAATAAGCGTGTTAATGTATTTGAAAAATATTTTATATCCTTAGCTGTCTCATCTATAAGCTTTTAAAAGACGCGTGTTAAAATCTTCAACTAGGATGGTGGATTTGTTAATCCTTTGTGATTCTTACAATTTTTTCTTTATTTTATTTTATTTTTTTTAGTTTCTCATTAAACAATTAGTACACATATTGTCTTGTGACATTGGTTGCCAATCCCATGATGTGTCAACATTCTCCGCTTCTTGACCTTGAGTTCTTCATTTCCATTCGTCCAGCTTTTCTGTTGCTTCCTGCTTTCCTGTCTTTGCCCCTGGGCTTCTGTGCTCATTTAATCTTGTATATGTGGTTGAACTACATGTGTTATTGTTTGTTTTATATGTCGGTCTAATCTTTGGCTGAAAGGTGAACCTCAGTGACTTCAGTACTGAGTTAAAAGGGTGTCTGGGGGCCATACTCTCGGGTATCTCCAGTCTCTGTCAGACCAGTAAGTCTGCCCTTTTCTGAGTTAGAATTTTGTTCTACATTTTTCTCCAGCTCTGTCCGGGACCCTGTATTGTGATCCCTGTCAGAGCAGTTGGTGGTGGTAACCACGCACCATCTAGTTGTGCTGGACTCAGTCTGGTGGAGGCTGTGGTACTTGTGGTCCGTTAGTCCTTTGGACTAACCTTTCCTTTGTGTCTTTGGTTTTCTTCATTCTCCCGTGCTCCAGATGGGGTAGGACCAGTAGACATATCTTAGATGGCCAGTCACAAGCTTTTGAGACCCCAGATACTACTCACCGAAGTAGGATGTAGAGCATTTTCCTTATAAATTATGTCATGCCAGTTGAGCTAGGTGTCCCCCAAGACCATGGTCCCCAGTCCTCCGTCCAGTAACTTGGTTGCTCAGAGAGTTTGGATGTGTCGATGAATCTTCTATGACTTTGCCTTGGTCAAGTTGTGCTGACATCCCCAGTATTGTGTGTTTTGATAGGTGTATATAGCTAGAATTTTTATTTCTTCCTAGTGAATTTAATTTTGTATCCTGAAATAGTGAGTGGTTAAATTCTTCTAAGAAACATGAAATCGGTCAGCTCCCCAAAGCTAGTTACATGACGTTGCATCTAGTTTGCTAGTCACAGTTTTATTTTTCCCTCCCTCACAGCAGTGTAGTCTCCAAGACTATGGCCTTAGGTGGGTCTTCACAGGTTTCCATGCTTCCCATCTTTATAATATTCTGGAAGTTTTACTACTCTGGTAGTATATTTCATGTTAACAGCTGTGAAACTGCATCAAGATAAAGGAAACTATAATAATTTCATCCCGATAAAGGCTGGTTTTTCCAGCTGCTGGGAATCAACATCTCTAGTTTCATTGGCTAGGGTCATTTAGGGAGATCTCCTCTGAAGACATGGGAATAGACTAGAATTCTTTTATGGCATCCAGCATTAAAAAAATAATATATGGAACATATCGGGCCCTAACTTTTAAAAATGAACTATAGTTTAATATTGTAACATACAACAGTTGGAGTCACCTTCAACTCTGCAATCTCTTTTTCATTTGGTGAAGACCCCTGGGCTACTTGTGTCCCATGTGACTTCACTGCTCTGGCCATTAATGAGTGGGGGCTGTGAACGCTTGAACCAAACAGGGTCAAGGGACATTGGAATTGAGGTTCAGGAATACTAGACATGATCTCTTCAACTTAAAGACAAGTAAACAAGAGAGATGAGGCTCACATTTTGGTTCAACTTTTTTCTGCCATGAGCACAGAGCTAGCTTTCTGTGAGATGGAAAAAGAAAGGATGTAGAAGGTAGAGAGGAGCAGGGAAGAGATGACATGTGGCCCCAGGGAGAGAGAGAAGTTGTCCTGGTTCCAGTTTCTTCTGAGATGCAGCTGTATTTCTCACCCTTAGGTTATTGTAGATACATCCTTGTATCTTTTCAATAAACTCCCCCTTTTTGGCTGAAGCTAATTTAGTGGGTTTCTGTCCTTGCTCATCTGAAACATATATTGTGCACTCACTACATGTAGAACAGTCTTCAGAGCAGTCTTGGACCATTCCCAGCACTGTGGTTTACAGTTTCTGAAGCACCTGAAGGGTTTCTTTATAAGGGACAGGTCTCAGATACAAGCAGAGTTGAATCAATGCATTTCAACAACTGGCCACCAGCACATTGTACTTTTAATCCCGTGCATTCAAAATAGAAATCGTAAAGAATTTCAGTATAAACTGAAATCAGCGTGAAATAGGTTTATTGAAAGTTAAAGAAAGGAAACGTAATCAGCAGAAAATATTTTTGAATGACATGATAACCTTTAGAACCCATATGTTTCTTCATGGCATGTACTCATGACTAAATCCACAGTGACTTTTTTTTTTAGTTCGCCACTATTGATCCACAGAAGGAAATATTCAGAATCCAGATTATATCAGCTCTGAAGCAATTTTCTGCGGAAAAGAACAGGCTTGCCCCTGATAGAGAGAAAACAAGAAGCCAGCATCAATGTCTTTGCAAGGACTCTTTTATTCCCTCCTGGTGTCATGCACGCATGCACATGCATGCACGCGCGCGCGCACACACACATGATGTATGGATAAGAGAGATCTTGCGGAATTAATCGATTCAATGATATGGAAAGCTGTTTTTAAGTTCCCAGGTAGATACTTCATTTTGTGTAAACTATTCTTTGAATGTCTAGAAATTAAGTGATTGTTAGAGCTATTGATTTAGATTTTATTGGCATTATCCTTTCATTTAGTCATTTATGCATTCTTTTGAACACCATATGTCTCGAGTTTACTCAGATCCATGCTTGCAAGGCAGTATTCTGTAAAGTTTAACAGCACAGAATCCAGAGCCACACTATTTGGGAATAACCCAGGCAAGGACTGTGTGACCTGGGAAAATTACTTAATCTCTGGATGCCTTCATTTTCTCATCGTAAAGTGGGACTAACAACAGAATTTACCAGCTAAGATTGTCATGAGGAGCAAATGAGTTAACACACTAAACTACACAGAATAGTGCCTGGCACAGACCAAGCTTTATATAAGTATTAGCCTTCATTACCATCCTCCTGTGACTGGTGTCTTCTTTGGATATGCCCAAGAATAGTCTGATAATTCCAAGAGCACGAATTTGGAGTGCATGGTAGGGATGCTACTCACCTTCAGTCTCCTCTGCCATGTATGTTGGAACATTTCTGCACATGTTAATGATGTATCTTCCAAACTTCTTCAGATCACGGACTTGTTCAGGGTTAATTGAGTATATCAGGCTCTTGGGAGGGGGTCCTCCTGGTCCTTTCCCCTGAAGCTGAGTGTGGGGAAGACGAGTGAAAAAGGAAGATAGAGAATGAATGTTAAGCCCAGTGGTTTGTTGATTTGAGGGTTGGATACAAGGTCCCCAGTGGGCATTGCTTGACTGTAATTTTTCTATAATTGAGATGAAGAAGAGCCAATTGCAGCTCTGTATATATCGGAATTTCTAAGTGTCCCAATAGGTTGGAAACCTCAACATCTTACAAAAGCAGATATTTGAGGCTAAAGTTATTTTGAAGCTTGGATCTCATGTGATCATTTGAGATTTCCTAGATTGGGCTATGTGACAATCAGCTTCTGAGAGCGCAGTTTATTCGTTTTCGCTAACTTGTCAATCGAAGGTACCGGTTTAACAGTTATAATAATATGAACTCAGGCAACTATTTTAAAGTACCATGGATTTCCCCCTCCCCTCCCAACCCAACTAGGGTTGCCAAATAAAATAGAGGGTGCCCAGTTAAATCCGAATTTCAAATAAATAATGAATATTTTTTTTAACCTAAGTATGTTCCGAATATCGCACGGGGCATACTTAATACTAATCAATTATACACTGTTTATCTGAAATTAAAATATAACTTGCATCCTGTATTGTTATTTGCTAAATCTGGCAATCCTAATCCAAACTCCTGTGAAAAAATGGCGTGACCGGAGCTTTGCTTCTCTAAAGGCCAAAGTTATCAGGTGTCTTGCTCAGCTGCTGTGGAGGCAGGTGTGAGCAACAGCATTTGGGTGTGATGGAAGCTACCTCCCTCAGGCAATCGCTTCTCACTGGCCTTTCACCATTCCTTTCTCGTACTGCTCACTACGACATGATGGTCAAGAGGGAGCAATTACAACCTTCTTATTATTTACTGTTTTTATTTCATAAGACCACCCCTCACTAAAAATAAAAAGACTTTTTTTTTTTTTAACCTTCTTTTCCTTGACCTGTGTATCCAGGGCATGAATGGAGGGCACAGCATCCTTGTTCAATTCATGCACAATGCATTGCTTTTTGGCAAAGAGTCTGACTGCAGCGAAGCCCTGTTAAAGAAAATGGTGGAGAGTGAGGTGTATGTTCTCCAACGAGCTGTTCTCATCAGACATCAGTTCCAGCAGCAGAGAGAAATGGAACCCCAAGAACGCGATGAGCCAGAAGGAGAGTGCTGGATCTGCTTGTGTTTTGTGATGGATGGACAGCAAGATCTTTGAGCGCAGAGGCCCAGTGTCTAACTTGGCTTATCTCCCTGGTTCTAGGATTGTAAGTGTTGCTCAACTTATGTCTGCTTGGCTGAAATGAATCTTAAAAAATGTTATCCCATTGTAACCTCTTTTGATCCTCACAAAATCTCAAGCAGGCTGGTAAGACAAGAGTTAGTTTTTTAACTGATCAGATGATAAAACTGAAACAATAAGAAGTCGGCTTTTTAAAAGTACAATTTGTTAAGAGTCGAGTCTCCTACCTTGAGCCAAGTGTTTTTTGTTATTTGATTTTTGCTTCCCTTACTAATTGATATTGTCATTTGTATTTCTTTTAGACATTCTGAGTTACAGGTGAAATATCAATTTCTGTCTTTTCAGAAGGAAACTGAATACAGAATGAAATGAAATGGGCTATGTTTGGCTGCAGTAATATTGTGGAAGCCTTTCATTATTGAAGGTCTCTGCAGACAGGCCAAGGGATTTGGTTTTTGATATGGTTGACTTATATCCCCACCATTCCTTGGCTGTAATGGATCCTAATAACTTCATTGATTTGAAGTTTAACTGATTGCGGGAAACTTACTAGCAGCAGTTACATCTAAGAAGTGAAATAGGTGAGGAAATGGGACCCTTTTACTTATAACTGTACACTTAAGTGTGGTTAGAATTTATCTTATTTTTATTTTTTCATCGTTGGCATGCAAAATTTTGTTTTTGGTTAAAAAGGAAAGGCACTAATTTTAAAGAATGGAGATTGCGTGTGGGCTACTCACAGTTTCATAATCCCAGATGGCATTCCAGGGGTTCAATCCATTGTTGTTGTCCACGTTGGCCACTTGATGTTCATTGTTCACACTCACTGATTGTTGCCCACTGCCAGCATTGTTGTTGTCATCGTTGACGTTGATATTCTGGGGTTTATAAGAAATTGAGAAGGATTTAATATTACATTTCTTTGCAAAGACATTTTGGTAGCAAACTTTAAGACGTGAGACTTACATAACTAGCAAGGGCAGGAGCTAGGAAGACTCCGAGAAGTCCGGCAAAGAATATCTGCAATCACAAATAAGGTAGGCTTAGTGTTACGTGGCAAAATGAACTCTTCTTTCTTCTGTCTCTATCCATGCTTATGAAAAATATGGACTAATTTTATCACTCTGTGGAGTGGTCTTTCTTTTTTTTTTTTTGTCACCTTTTATTCTTTTTTTTAACCAGAAGAAGTTTTAATGATAATGTAGAAAGATAAATTAATTATAAATAATTATATTAACCTGCTATATAGTTTTGGCGTTCCTGAGTGGTGCAAATGGCTAATGACCTTGGCTATTAACTGAAAGGTTGGACGTTTGAGCCTACCCAGAGGTGCCTCAGAAGAAAGGGCTGGTGAACTACTTCTGAAAAATCAGCCATAAAAACCCTACAGAAAACAGTTGTGCTTTGACATACATGGGATCGACATGAGTCAGAAGCAATTTGACGACAGTCAGGGTATGTAGTTTTAGAATTTTTTCAATGTAAGTCTTATGAAAAAATGATGAAACATCAGTACAGTGAAAAACTGAATAGTGTACATGATCTGAAAAGGATTACAAGCTTTGAAAATCACATCTGAAAATGATTTATTTTCCTATTTGATCTGGGATGCTTTCCTCCCTTTGTCAACCTCTGAGTAGCAGAAATACAGAACTCATTTTTTATAAGTAAGGATTAGTAGGCAGGTTGGAAGGTGCTGAGAGGCCGAACATGTGGTGTCTGGGTATTAGACATGCCTAGCAGAAGGGACGTCAAGAATAGTATCCCACAATACTTGGTTTAGTCATTTGCTCCTGGACGCTTGACACTGGGTTTCAGAACACAGAGCTTTATGCAGGGTGGCCATTCTGGGTACCTAGTATTTTTTCCTTGGTCTGGGACAAAATAGTTTGAGACTTGCACTGGCGATTCAAGGTCATTTTAAAATTTGTTTAATTTTTCCCGATGATAGTTTAAGAAGGGGGTAAAAATTACAGTTTCCTAAAAAGTTAAAGGTGGAAGAAATCTTAGAGGCCTTCTAGTACAACCCAGTCCTTTTACAGTTGAGAAAACGGAGCTTCAGATGTTAAGTGACTCTGCCAAGGCCATACCTCTAGCTTTTTTTTAATCTTGCCACAGTTAAAAACGATAAAACCCTTTGCTGTTGAGTGTATTCCAACTCATGGTGACCCCATGTGTTCCAGAGTAGAAATACTCCATAGGGTTTTCTTGGCTGTAATCTTTATGCAATCAGATAGCCAAGTCTTTCTTCTGCAGCACTGCTGGGCGGATTCAACCACTAACCTTTTGGTTAGTAGCTGAGTGCAAATCGTTTATGCCACCCAGGGAACTACAGGAGGGAGGGCTGCTTTGTAGATAACTTATTCATACTTGCAGCTTCATTATGAATCAGAGTCAGCTGTAATATATTCTAGTATTTAGTATATGAAACATGAAATATGCTCATTGTCTCATTCCAGCCCCTTTACACCCTGTTACCAGACATGTGATGCTGTTGGTTACTTTGGCAGAATTTTGTGGTCCACCTGTTATGAAAACAAAAACAAAACAAAAAACCAGTTGCCATGGAGTCAATTCAGACTCATGGCTATCCCATCTGCCCATGTTTGTCAGAGTAAAACTGTGCTCCATAGGGTTTTCAGTGGCTGATTTTTTGGAAGTAGATTGCCAGGCCTTTCTTCTGAGGCACAGAATATTGAATTTCCAATATTTTGGTGAGCAGCCTTCCATCTGGAATCACAGGTGAGATGCTGCCCTAGCTTCATGCTTCTGGTGCTTTCTTGACTAAATGGCCATGGACAGGGGCCAAGGCAAACCCTTCTTACCTGGAGTTTTATTTCCCAGCAGACAATGTGCCAGTACATCTCTCACTCACTTCTTTTGATAATAAGTTTTTTATCCTGCCTGAATATGCTCAGGAGTTTTGGTCAAAGGTGGAATTCAGGGAGGTGGGAAAATATCAGGCACTTTCTGAGGCTTTGGGACTGCTGTCTCTATGCCAAGACCTGAATCGTGTGATCTGGAAAGTAATTGTATTAATGGCAGCAAATTCAGGGCTGGATTACCCAGTAAGCAAGGTACACACGGGCCCAACTGTGCCTTCCCACCAGTCTGCAGTGCACAATTTCACCTGTCTCCCACTTTATGAAAAATCAAAAAACCAAACCCGTTGCTGTCGAGTTGGAATTCACAGCGACCCTGTAGGACACAGTAGAACTGCCCTACAGGGTTTCTAAGGAATGGCTGGTGGATTCAAACTGCTGACCTTTCAGTTTGCAGCTGAGCTCTTAACCACTGTGCCACCAGGGCCCCAGATCAAAGATGTGGTGAAACCCATGTGAAATCGCTCACCACAGATTAGCAAGTAAATACAATTAAGCCCTTGTATACCTTGCTCAATGCAAGCTGGTCCGTACCGTGCTTACTGGTTAATCCACCCCTGGGCAGCATGGCCCAACATACTTAGACAGCTGTCTACCCCAGTATAGTTATCCCTCTCTATAGAGATGCTTGTAAATGCCATGATTCCACAAAGAGAAAACAGTGTTTTACGCATTTTTGCATTCCAGTGATATTGCCATAAGAAGCAGACCTCCTATCTCAGAATAGCAGTCTTGAACTACATAGTAATAAATTCAAAAGGAATAATCTACTCACTGTGAGCTTCATCTTGAGTCCAACCAAGCAATGGAGCAGAGGAGAAGGGAGGCGTGGACTCAGGACGGGAAGCTTCTCCTATTTGTACTGGACTTGGTTTACTCAAGCTAGGTGTGACAAGGTGGGGGTCACCGGCTTATCCTTCTTTCCCGTATCGTGCCATAACACAGTGTACCAGGAGCCTTTGGAATATCTACCTGGTTAACAAGGCACTTTCACATGAAGTTTCTCTGACTCATCATCTGTTGCAATTGAAGGTATCACGATATACTTTATGATAACTTCTGGTCCAGTTGTAGCTGTGGGTGTGATATCTTAGACCTTGATATTACATAGATTCTGAAAAAAGAATAATCCCTAAAATCAAACAAGACTTAGATGAGAAACCACGTGCACACGGGGCCTTGGAGAGAGCAACTCCTGTAAGAATGTGGGAAGGGTTCCCACTTCTTGCCTTCACCTGAGCCTTTTGTGATGGAGTTTGCTTAGACAAAACATGCTCTGTTCCCTAAAAAAAAAAAAAAACCCAAAAATAAACAAAACAAAGCAAAATAAAACAAGTTGCCGTGGAGTCAATTCAGACTCATGGCTATCCCATATGCCCATATTTGTCAGAGTAAAACTGTGCTTCATAGGGTTTTCGGTGGCTGATTTTTTGGAAGTCGGTTGCCAGGCCTTTCTTCTGAGGCACTCTGGGTAGACTTGAATTTCCAATATTTTGGTTAGCAGCTGAGCACGTTAAACGTTTGTACCACCCAGGGACTTTCTGACCTGTTCCCACCAAACCTATCCTCTTCTTTGCAGTCCTGAGTTCTCTCAATGATAGCACTGTACATTTGTTAGAGATCTGAGGGCTATGGTTAGTCCTTTCGTTTACCCCCACATCCAGTTAGTTACCAAATTACCAAGCCTTGTTGTTTCATCTGTGAAATGCCTGTTGACTTTAGCTATGTCCATGTTTCTCTTACCTGGACTTTTACAGCCATCGTGTAATTGATCTCTGGTCACAAGTTTTGAGTACTCCAGTGCATTTTCTCCCTTTTCCCTGGGGTTGTCTTTCTAAAGCACACACATAAACTTTACCTTGTGGGCTGCCCGTGGAAGTTTTTAAGATTAAAAACTCATTAGAATGGCATCCAGGGTCCTTTATAATAGGTCTCCAAGCCTCCCTAGCTACATCTGCCACTTTATGCCATGTACTGATGTTCCAGCTATACCAGAGTTCCCACTGTTCCTGGAATATTCAAGATATTTCATGCTTCTGTGCCTTGGCGCATGCTGTTCTCTGACCCTGGAGTGCCATTTCCTTGTCTTTCTCTAGTTGGTAACCTGCTTTTCATTTTTCAAGGCTCAGCTCCAATATCACTGCCTCCATCATGTCTTCCCTATCTCCTAGATGAAACTTCCCTTCTCTTTTCCCGGAGCTATAAAAGAAATCGCTTTTCTTTTATTTGCATCTGAATAATTTTAAGAAATGACATTAAAATAATTTTTAAATAGTCTTTTTAAAAAAATCAGAAATGGTGTAGAAACTGTCACTTGGACAAACAGGGATACGCTCAATATAGTCTCGGAGGTGAATTGAAGCTTTATGCATTTTTTTTCCCTAGACTTTCCTAGAAATTGGAGCTGGTAACATCATATGTGCTAAATCTCATCAATCACTGATCTATGAGCATCCCCTCTGGAGACCTTCCTGAGCTCTTGATTGTCCTCCTGTGCATGGGTTGGATGGTTACATCAAAATGTTGATATAAGTGACTTAACATAGCTGGGGTAAGATTTTGTTCATGTTTTTTATGTGTCCACTGATTTCCTTCAGACTCATCTTTAGCAGTAAAAAGACAGTAAGCCTGGGGCAGGGGACAGACCCCTGTGAAGACGTCTTCATCAGCATTTACCCGTTGCCATCGAATCGACTCTGACCCATAGCCACCCTGTAGGACAGAGTAGAAGTGCCCCCTACAGTTTCCAAGGAGCAGCTGGTGGATTTGAACTGCCGACCTTTTGATTAGCAGCCGTAGCTCTTAACCACTTCGCCACCAGGGCTCCTTATCAGCAGCAGGCACTGTCATATCATGGCAAAGTCAAAGAGAGGACAGCATGGTTGCCGCTGTTAAAATGTGCCTTGGTGCAGTGGTGTGGTGCCTAGCACACATTTTGCATGTCAGACGTTATTAAGGACTTGCGGTTGCCCTGTTCGACGGTGGGCTGTGAAATGCTAGCCTAGAAGCTGATCCTTGATAAAAAAAAATTAAAAAAGAAAATAGTTCAGAGTTCAATAATCCCACCCTTGGGGCTTCACAATTCACATTTGCACATCAAACGTACTAAGAAATCTGCAGAGGAGAAATCTATTTCACGTGGGTTCATCCAGGTTCTCATAAACTTATTTAACCACAGAACCCAGTTGTTTTTCTTTTATTTATTTATTTCTCCTAACACCTACTAATGTCCCTTGTTGGCATTTTCATTAGGGAGACAACAATCCTGCCGTCTCTGAGGAGGCACTTTGATCAGAAAATTGATCTGAGGAGCTACTGGTTGGAACTAGCCAGGAGACCTAGATTCTGTTCTTTCTGATGTCAACCGGTCATTTCCCCCGCCGATAGGCCTTAGGTTACCTATGTGCAAAAGAAGAAAATTCCCCCTGTATACAATATTGCTATTTGTATAGCTCTGAAAATCAGAAATAAATAAATACAAGGCAGTTTTTATCCTCTCGCTTGAGCATCTCCTTTATGCAATTCAAATTTTAAAAAGGAGCCTGTTGAGCATCATATATGTGTCCAGCATATTCTAGGTTCTATGGAAGTGACAAAAATGTTGACATGTTCTGTCTTCCTTCCATTGGAGGACAGGAAGCATACAAAATAAAGCTCTCGGGGGAGAGGGAACAAGAGACTCGCTCATGCTTCCTCAGGTCTTTTGCCTTAGACAGGAAGAGGACTGAAGTTGGGGATGACCCCTTCTGTCCCCTCACAGAGAGAAGAGGTTCTTCCACCTGGGTACCCTTATCCGCAGGGAGACTTCCCTGTCAAACCCCACCCTACAGGCCAGCTGGCTATGGTGACACTTGGAAGGAGTCCCAGGTGATGGTGTGGCCCCAGTGCCCTAGGGTGAGCGTGGGGCAAACCAGCCCCTGGGTAAATAAGGCCTGCCCTGCCCACAGAGGTTAGGTTAGGTCATACCAAGAAACCAGCCTCTATCATCATTTTTATCTCACAATCCACACACACCCATGGCTTCACTTTGCTCCACACCCTATCATGTCAAGGGTGGTGGAAACTCCCTTTATGTGCAGCAAACTAGGGATGTATTCCATGTATAATATGCTAATATCCTCTTGCTGGAGCGACTTTTAGAGATTTCCCACAGAAATCAGACTTTTTATTCTGCTTCCTTTTCTCTGAGTGGAAGGGAATGCTTTCATTGAACATCCTTAGTCAAGATTCCCTCTCCTCTCTAGAAGTTAGTGACCGACCTAGCAGTCATCAACCCCTACAAAGTCCTTAGTAATCTCATCTTCCTTTTTGTTCTTACCCCATTTTCTCATTTTAGGACTCAGATGACCTTTGTTGTCCTTGTTGTTAGTTGCCATGAAGTCACCTCCAACTCATGGCAACCTTATGTGTGACAGAAATGTTGCCTCGTCCTGCGCCATCTTCAGGAAGGTTGGTGTGCTTGAGTCCATTGTTGCAGCTACTGTGCAAATCCATCCCACTGAGGGTTTCCCTCGTTTTCACTGACCCTCTGCTTTACTAAATATGACCTCATATTATAATTTATTTGCTTGAATGTGAAGCCCCTTAATGCAGGGTTTCTGTCTCCTTGCCTTTATGCCGTTTTTCTCAGCAACCTGCACACCAGTTTGATGATCTTTGTGATGGTCCCGAGTCAGGTGGTTCATTCTGAGGTCTGAACACACGTCTTCATCTGGGGAAAAGTACGCCCCTCCCATGGTCTCTGTTTACCAGCCTGTAGCTAAGATTAGCTACGGTTCTTGTGGCTACAGCCCCCAGCGCCTGGGGTAGTGGTGTACTCTGATCAAATGCTCCATCTGTACTCGCGGCCAGAAATGACACATCTAAACAAATGGCAGCAGGAAAGCATAAGATAAAACTTTCATAATTAGTGCTAGAGAAATCTTCTAATTCTAGAAAAGCCATGCTTATTAAGTCAGTTGCTTTTGTATAGGAGGCATACTCTTTTCAAATTACAGCAAAGCAGACGAAGCGCTTTCTTACAGCATCACAGAGCACTTTCTTTTTGTTATTTCCTCTGGGACCATTGCTTTCCAAAATATAACTCTGCCTTTCTGTTGCTAATTATATATGTCTGTCCAGATGTATTTGTCAAACCTTCTGGATCCCCTCAGAGCTCAACGTGACATATTATGCCTCAGAGCAGTTATTGCCTTGAGTGTTAGAGGGTTATAAGTAGAATTTGGAAAGTGTTTGCTAAAAGAAGATCTCCTGAGTAATGATATTATCTGCATAAAATATATGAAAGTAGAGATAAAGAGGGTGTTGGTCACTAACTTCATTTTTTATCATGGCGAAGAACAATCAAATCTGGTGAAGCACTTCCATTCTGAAAAGGATTTAGAGAAGATAGACCATCTGGGAGCCCTGGTGGAGCAGTTCAAATTCACCAGCAGCTCCTTGGAAACTCTATGGAGCAGTTCTACTCTGTCCTATAGGGTCACTACGAGTTGGAATCAATTCAACGGCAACCGGTTTGGTTTTTGGTTTTAGGCCCATCTGAGGAACAGAAATCACAAAACGATAGCAAATTGTTGCTGTGTAATTACCCCACGGCTAATTCAGAAATAATACAACCTGTTCATTCTGCAGTGTCCCCACCGAGACGGTTTAGAGAGAATAGTGTAAACGAACTCATGCTTAAGGTGTGCTCTTTCTACCACAGCAGTCAGGCCTGGGAAAGGCTGAACTGCTCATTTAAAGATGGAAATCAGGTCGCAAATGGTTAGGACCAAAGTTCTTCAGCTGGCCAGCTGCAGAGCAGCGCCTGGAGCCCCGGTCTCCTGAGAAACCAGGGGCCTCCACACCACACTGTCTTCCATGGCTTCCCTGGAAGAACAGGCCGAAGTAAAGGACTTGCACTAAGGCCACTGGACAATGACACTCGGCTGTGAGTCATTGCATCTTCTGCCCGATGACTGACCTGAACTGGTTTCCTTTTCCACGTCTCAGAGAGAAAATACACTCACATAGGTAATCTTCTCACTTTTGGAAGAAAACACCCTCAGATGGAGATATTGGATCCTGAGAGGTACGCAGGGAATTCTGACCTTCCATGTTTGTTCAATTACTGCCTCTCCCCACCCACACCCCAGCCTCCAATTCTCGGAAATACTTCATGAAACCTATCGGTTGGGGCTTATTCTGGAATGTAATTCTCCTTTGGAGGCCCTGCTGGGTTTGAATAAAGAACTAACTCCTCTTATCCAGGCCAGGAAAGTTTTTTCCCCTAGACCTACAACCGTTTCCTCATTTTCTCATGTTGAAAAGCAATCAATTACAAGCAATTCATGCTCCAGCTAATGCAACGCCCCAAGTTGTTTACTTAAAGACGTAAAACGACCAGTGCCCAAGCTCCCAGATCCGGAAATCTGTATGCGAGGCAGGGCCAGCTTGATAGGCGTGTGGCTAGTGTAGTCACACAGGGCCACACTCTTGGAAGAAAGCCCTGCAAAGTGAGTTTAATGCTCTGTGGTTGCCTTCGTGAAATTTTTTATCGTTTTGTTTTTTGAATTTGTGTTTTTTAAGTGAAGTCCCACAGAACAAGGGAGCATGCACTGGGGGCTTGGGCCCTCTCTCCACCTCCCTGGGATGGGTTCTCAACTGCCCACTCTCCTACCTTGCCCCAGTGACTGCTGTTGCCCTCTGCTGGCAGGGCCTGGATGCAGGTGCAGGGAGAGTCAAGGTGGGACACATGCACCGTGCGTGCCAAGTCATAGGGT